TCACTAGGCTAATCCTCTGCCTTGCGGCACCAGCACACCGGGTTCTAGTCCCAGTCGGGGCGCTGGATTCTGTCCCGGTTGCTCCTCTTCCAGGCCAGCTCTCTGCTGTGGCCCGGGAGTGCAGTGGAGGATGGCCCAAGTGCTTGGGCCCTGCACCCCATGGGAGACCAGGAGAAGCACCTGGCTCCTGCCATCGGATCAGCGCGGTGCGCCTACTGCAGCACACCAGCCACGGCGGCCATTGGAGGGTGAACCAACAGCAAAGGAAGACCTTTCTCTCTGTCTCTCTCTCTCACTGTCCACTCTGCCTGTCAAAAAAAAAAAAAAGACATACACAAACGATACGCTGCTCTGTGTCTGGACCATGATCCAACAATTCAAACAGTTAAAACATTCGAAAGCAAAATTAAACCAATGACTACTTGCAGATAATATGCCTCTATATCTGGAAAATTCAAGAGACTCTCCTGAAGTGTTACAAGGAGTAAGCAGAAAGGCTGGCACTGTGGCACAGTGGGTTAAAGCCATGGCCCACAGTGCCGCATCATAAGGGAGCTGATTTGAGTCCTGGCTGCTCCACTTCCAATCCAGCTCCCTGTTAAGAGACAGAGCAGCAGAGTATGGGAGAGCTTGGGCCCCTGCACCCATGTAGGAGACCTGGAAGAAGCTCCCGGCTCCCGGCTTTGGCCTGGCCCAGCCCCAACCCATTGCAGCCATTTGGGGAGTGACCCAGTGGATGGAACACCTATTTCTCTGTCTCTCCTCACTCTCCACAACTCTGCCTTTCAAATAAATAAAATAAGCCTTTAAATTTAAAAAAGCAGGATAAAGAATGAGCAGAATTCATAAATTTGCTGGGTACAAAGTTATTTAGATACACAAGTTAGGAAACCTAATGAAATGAATGACTCCATTTAACAAAAAAGGTAGAATACCTAGAAAAAATTTTTCCAAGAAAAATGCAACATCTATGTGAAGCAACTTGAAAATGTTTCTCAGGGATGTGGCAAAAGGTCTGAATGAATGGAAAGTTCTTCAGTATATGAAGGTAATTGAAAATGAAACTCGATGAAGGGTGGGATTGGAGAGGGAGTGGGAGAGGGGAGGGCCATGGGAGGGAGGGAGGTTGGGGGGGGAAGCCACAACAACACAAAAGTTGCACTTTGTAAATTCACATTTATTAAATAAAAAAACTATATAACAAACAAAAAAAAAAAGAAAAAAAGAGAACTTAATACTTTACCCTTTTAGTATTTTTTATGTTCTACTTAAAACTATTGGTTGAACTCTGTAATTAATACACAATTACTCTTAGGTGTTTAATTAATGCTATAACGTACTCAAATAGTATTTTACACTTTGTGTTTCTGTGTGGGTGCAAACTGTTGAAATCTTTACTTAATATATGCTAAATTGATCTTCTGTATATAAAGATAATTGAAAATCTTGATGTGAATGGAAGGGGAGAGGGAGTGGGAGAGGGGGAGTGTTGTGGGTGGGAGGGAAGTTATGGGGGGGAAGCTATTGTAATCCATAAGCTGTACTTTGGAAATTTATGTTCATTAAATAAAATAAAATAAAATAAACCAAAAAACTAAAAAAAAAAGAAAATTCTACTATGCTTTCAGGAAAATGTAACTTCATGAAGATGCAAAAATCTCTTTATCAATCCATAAATACAATATGATCCCAAAATATGATGACAGAATTGTTGGGAACTTGTCAAAATGTTGTTGATGTTACCATAGAAAACTAAAGGAGTAAAGATTTCCTAATGAGAGGGGCACTATCATAATAACAAGTGTGTTTTGAGATACATTTCACAGTTATTATTGAATCTTCATAGGTCATTCCCTGATGATGAAATTTGGGTTTTGGCCTTGGCCATTTGACACTGACCAAACCTGTTTTCAATGATTTTCCAAAGAGGTTCAGGATCTACAGCCCAACCTGCACCATTTGGCCCTTTCATTGGGCTGCCAAGTCTGTAGGCAGCTTCTAGTCTTGAGGATTTTCTGAACCAGGGCTCAGGCTCACTCGTCCCCACGCTCCGGGAGACACCAGGAGGCTGGCCATCTCTGCCTGGGGGGAGGTGGAGCTGGCAGGGATTTCCTGCTCTCAGGACTCACCTGGAGCTCTGGCAGACTCCCTCTTCTGTTGGGGCTGCCGGGCTGTCCAGCTGCCCTGGGGGCCGAGCCTCCCCGACTGCAGGGCAGGCGCGGGCACTGGAGGCAGCCCTGTGCATGGGGTTCAGCCCTCTGCCCCCGCCCAGGTCCCCTGGCACCGCCCACCTGGATGTGCTGCAGAATCCTGCGGGCGCACCAGTCCCCCAGCTGCGCGTATCTCCCCGCCAGCTCCTCGTCGGCCTCCCCGAACTGCTCGACCAGGTTGAGCAGCATCATGGGCACTGCCATGGGCTCCGCCGCTGGGGACCCTGGGAGCTGGGGCCGGCCCAGCCCCGATGGGTCCTCCCGCACCCAGCGGATGATCTGATCCATCATCTCCAGGGCCTCACTCTGGGTGGGGGGTGGGGCAAGGAGAGGCCCAGCTGAGGCTGCTGTCCCACCTGTCCCGTCCCCAGGTACCTGGTGGGGTCCCGAGGACTCGGCCCTGGGCGGGAAGCCCGTGGTCTCTTGTGCACTCCAAGGACACTTCACCAAGGGGCCTGCTGTGGGTCTGGCTCCTGGGCCGGGTTGGCCCCAGCCTGCTCTGGGGGCTCCCCGTCTGGGGGTGCAGGCAACTCCCAGGCAGTGGCGTCGGGGTTTTATAGCACAGGGATGAGGGAGAGGTTCCCTGCCAACTGGGGGCAGGGCACAGATGAGCCCTCTCTGCCCAGGTTTCCTGTGCAGGGTGGAGACATCACCCATAGACATGAGGCACAAAAACAGTGCAATAAAGGGGGAGGGGCATTGCCAGAAGCTTCCAGGACCCTGGGAATCCACTGGAAGGAAGACAGGGAAGAGCAGACTGTACTTTTGGGGAAGCTGGCTTATCTGAAGATGTGGCTGGACAGAGAACTATGAGTACAGTCCCCCAGGGTGATGTTGCTGAGCCAGGGCCTGCCCTTACTAGTGTGGGAATGAGGGAAATTTCCAGTAGCACAATGGACACATGCTGGGGTGGCCAGTGAAGCTGACGGAGGTGGGGACAGGGCAAGGATGGGAGGGGCTGGAGAACCCCAGGGTGCAGGGCAGAGGGTTCATTTGCTGATGCTGTGTGCTGGGCTCTGCATACATCCACTAGGTGTGCAGCCCCTCACAGCACAGCTTGCATCATGTAGGTCCCCTGTGTGGTCACACTTTGGCTCCATGTCTCTCTCTCTCTGGTGCCCTTGTCATTGACTTTGGTATTCCTGGGGTTCAACACACAGCAGGTGTACCACAAGTGGTTAATGGACCATGTTCAGAAAAGGGATGAAGGAGCCGAGGGTGTTTCGGAGCCACATTGCTTGGAAAATTTGGGTACTTTTTAAAATTATGCTTTCGAAGGAAATGCATTTCAGGTGACTAGTCGGATGCTGACCTGTGCCAGCTCATGCTGGCACACGAAAGGTGCTCTGTGGCTGTTGGAGGAACTAATGAGGCTGGAGCAAAACACAGCTCTGGAGGGTTCAGAAAAATGGTTTTGAGAGACTGGTGGGGAGAACAAGCTAAAACCCAGTGAGCTTCAGAGCAGAAGCCCCCATTCCTATCTATATGTCAGCTGTCCCTCCCACGTGGGCCCAGAGCTAGACATGGGTTGGGGAGAGGGGTGTGATATGGACCTGGCCCAGAGGGATGCCAGAGGTGCACATGCTGGCCTAAGATAACATCTGGGGCCTATGAATTCTTAGGCAGACAAGACTTCTAGGAGTCCTCAGGCAATCTTCCAATGATTTTGGATTTTTGAATGTTCCACCGAAGACTTGTTTGTTTTACAGAGGATGGCGCTGCAGAAGCTACAGCGCTCAGGTTGGCAGGGTTGCTAGGAGAGCACAGATGGAATATTTATCAGTCCCCTGCTAGAGGACAACATGACCCCCAGAGAGAAGCTCCAACCTGTCCCTATCTCCTCTGGCTCAGTATAAGCTGTCCTAACATGTTGCCGTTGCTTTGATCTGAGCACAGCTGAAGCTTGCCAGAACACAGCTTGCACGTTTTAAGGAAAAATAGGTGGAATTCTCAGTAACGTGCTTTCTGAAACCAGAGAAGCCAGCAGAAACAGCTGGACTGGGTGGGGCAGGTGCACTGGGAGGTGGCTGTGCTGTCATGTAGGAAAAGTGACCCCTCCCCAAGCGAGCAGTATCACATCACCTGCTGTGGTGCATTTGGGGTGGTTGAATGGGACCCCGGAGGAAAGACGACATGGGCCCTACCTAGACCCATATCAGAAGCTAGGGAGAATGGGTTGGGCCAGGAAGACATGCTCCTTTCCAGAATGTTGTGCCCTTTGTTGGGATTCACATCCTAGAACCCACTCTGCACTTGTCCTTCCACAGGTGGGCAGCTGACTTCACAGCTGGGTGGTGTTTGTGTCTGGAAGGGTCAAGAAACCAGGGCCTGTTCCTACCCCAAACTTTTCTGAAGGCCAACCACAGGCCAACAGGAGGAGTCACCTCTGGCTCCCATCTCCACTCAGCCTGGAGATGTGGGCTGATTCTCAAGTCCCCGAAGCCATCTGTCACCCCATTCCCAGTGCTTATGGGAGGAGCTCAGAGTCTGGCCTTGTCTTCTGCTATTCCCTGGAATTCAGACTCAAGGGACTCCTGGCCAAGGTGGGGGAAAGCTCTTTCCAGAAAGGAAGGCCCCCTCTCCCAACGGCCAGCTGCAAGTTTGTGAAAACCTGGTGCCCCCCAGGAGGGTACCTCCTCACCTCTCCAGGTGCCTGGCAAATGCCGGGATAACCAAGACAGCACCTGGACCCCAGGAAGGGACGATTCTCTGAGTGCAGGGACAAGTGCAGAACTCTATGGCGTGGAGAAAGGGAAGAACTGATAAACAAAATAATTCAAGGAAGATCAATGCCATTTAACATATATTTATTGAAATCTACTTGATGCAAGGCACTGTGCTAGATTTGGTAGGGATCAGACATGAAGGGCCACCCCTGTCTTCTAAGAGCTCACAATCCAGTGGGTGGGGAGGGCTGGGGAAAGGGCGGGGGGAGGAAAAGCCAAGTCCACACACAGCTCTAGTGCAAGGCTGGATTACAGTGAGTGCCACAGAAGAGACGAGGGAAGGAGATGAGGGAGGAGTAAGAAAAGAGATACAACAAATGAAATACAAACGGGCTGGACACAGCTACTGTCTCAGAGATAACGCAGGTGACACTGCAGACCAAGTTTATAAGGAGACCATTGTGATTTCAAAAGTAAACACTCAAACTGCTGCGATGAGAGCTACACAAGGTAAGGAGACTAGAAATAGAGACATTACCAACTCTGTAACCTGAAGGATTGACTGGAAACCGTGAAACACTTCTGAAATAGACAGCAGGGTGGGCTGGGATTCAACTCGCTTTGTTCTGTGGGTTAAACATGGTTCAGTAAAGGAAAAACACCCAGACAGAAATTCCTTGATTAAACTCGCTGAGATTAGGAGGCATAGATTTTCACCCATCTTAGGAAGAAAAGACAGTACCGCGTTTAAACAGGTGCTCACAACAGTCAGGAAGGACTTGGGCCAGGAATGCCAGCTGGGTAGAATGTGAAGGAAGCCAGCAACATGATTCCTCTCAGAAAGCAGCCAAGTGGTCAAAAGGCAGTGACCAACTTGGGCTGGCTCAGGCCAAGGAAGTGTGCAGAGGAGACGTGTGGACTTGTGAGGGCAAGTAGCCCCAAATCCCAGAACATGACAAGGGGGCAACTTCTCAAAACACCATGTGGCGCCCTCTATCCTCAACACCAATGAGAAACTTCTGTTTCCTTGTTTGCATTTCACAGACCTGAAAGGCCTGATCCATCATCTCCAACCAGCTCTGGCAACTGGCCGCTGCCCTTTGACCTGTTGTTTGGTTCGGGCTTAATGAATGTGGCCTAGAAGGGGGGCTGGTGAGTCACATGGTACACAACAGGACAGTAGCCCAGGGCTGTGGGCAGGGCAGGTGCCTTGCCACTTCTAGCACAAAATCAAACACACAGAATGCACTACCACACAAGAAAATATGCCCACAATGATCGGGTGGGATTATTCCAGAAACGCAAGAGTGGGGATGACACAACTAATCAGTTAATCGTAATAAGCAGCAAACATGGGAAACAACTACTTCCTTTTGAAAATGTCATCAAATATTCAAAACTCTGACAAAGGTCTTGGAAGCTTTCCTTTGCAATCCAGTAAGAAAAGGACACATTTCTAACTAGGGCCAGCATTCGATTAACCCAACTGCCCACTATTTCCCTTGCGACAGGAATATGTGTGATTAGAAAGAAAAATGAAATGAGGTAGATACACAAATGCATAGACAAGCACACGCAACAGAAAGCTTGGTCACATTTTGCATCTGACATGGCAGCATGGCTAGAGAATCCAAGGAAATCACCCCCACGTTACTAGAGGGGAAAAATGCAACTCAGTGAAGGAACAGGACACATAGTAGAGTCACAGACTGACTGCATTTGCAGAGAGCACGGATTTCACCGCAAAGACCAGGCAAAGCTGTCCGAAGGGACGTGATCTCTAGTGTTAACTCTGCGAGAGGATTGGTTTGAGAAAAAGTTATGGAATGAAAAACAGGAAACAAGGCAAGGTGGGCCGGAAGGAATGCCAAGGTGCCACGTCCTGGCTGGGAGCAGTGATGACTGCTGCACTCCTGGTTGATGTTAGTCTAGACTTTGGCAGCATCCTTCATCAAAGCCAACAACGGTGAGTGAATGGGCGGGAAATGGTGGAGTACCTCTAGGTCAAGGTGCCAGGCTTGTCCCTGGCAGAAGGCAACCTTCCTTACCCAATGACAGCTGTACCAGACCTCTGGTAACACCTGGGAAAGAGAAAAGTGCTTCGAGAAGAAAGTGGTGATTGCAGACACAGATTCATAACTGCTGCAAGAACTAAGGCCCACAGAGCAAGAGGAATGGCTATGTAACAGGTGCTGTTGGCTTCTCTCCAGCCTGGGGGTCAGGATGGAGTCGTCCCAAAGGGCCACTCTGCTGGCCTGGGGCCATTCCAGAGGACCTTCTGCTCAAGGTCACAGGGGTCACTCCCGGACCTTTCTTCCCAGGATGGGGGCCTGGGAAGCCCTTTTAAGCTCTGCCTGCTGAGCAGAGCTCTGCTCTGCTGCTGGGGCTGTACACTTCCTCTCCAGGCTCTTGAGTGCCCACCCCCTGGGCACAGGTGCCGTGGCCAGCTTCTTTCTGTGGCCTCTGCCGGAAGTGAGAGCCCAGCCACAGGGTGCTAGCTTCTATATCCACTCTGCATAGGCTATCAGAGGAGCCGTGTTGCCCTCCAAACCTCCTGGGCATGGCTGAAGTGGCCAGCTTCTACCAGCACGAGACGCTGGCTGTCAGAGGGGCCTGCAGCCTCACCAAGCTTCTGCTCTGTTGCCCCTCGCAGGGGCAGCTGCACGAAGTGACGTCAGGGTGAAATCTCGCCCTAGCTGCCCCAAACAGAAGCCAGCAGAATCACTCGCTGGGAGGACACGGTCCCTGTGATGCCAGCCAGGTGAGTCTTCCTGTGTCCGAGGAGCTATCTCTTGGGCGGATCTGTTTCTTAGTCACTGGATCCACGCCAGGCACTGCCAAGGTTCCCAGGAGGCTGAAGGATGGCCAGGCTACTGCCAGATGAAGTCTGGACCTCCCATCCATCGAGGGAGGTCAAGCTGTGCTGCTGGGGCTGTGCACGTGAGCAGTCCCAGAGGCTTCTGGCCCGTCCAGGTGGACGTATCGCTCGTGTGCCTCAGTGGCCAGGCTACATAGTCAAGTGCTGCACACAGATGCCCATGGAGTTTGCACCGTGGACGGGAATGAGCCTGCTTCTCCGGCCCATTCCCGTGCAGCCCGCCCTTTGGGTGGGCAGGGGTTTCAGGTTTTTCAGTTGTAATTAAAATTCTACAAGAAAATGTTACCTTATCACTGAAGCAACGAAAGTTACAAGTTAATGGGAAAAAAATGAATGCTTGGATATGTAAAAATCAAAATCTTGCACAACAAAAATGTAATAAAATTGCTTCAAAGAGCAAAAGTAATAAAACTAGAAAAGAGAGCATCAGAAGTGATATAGAAAGAACTGCTATATAAAGTCAATATATCCAAAGATAACTTGATAACTAGTCAAAGGAGATGAACGCACGATTGGCATGCAAGAAAATGGACATAGTGTTGACGTCATCACATGAGAAGAAAAGATGCAAACTAGTAGTCAGGAGGTTAGGGTCTGTCCCCGGTTCTGGTACTGATGAGCCACGGGATGACGGCAGCTAACTCTGGCGATGACTGCACATGACCTTCGCCGAGTGTGTGCCCCACGCCTGCAGGCACGATGGCAGTCCTCATGATACCCTTAGGAGGTAGGCACGGTGATCACCCCCATTTGATGGAGCTGGAGACGGAGGGGCTGGAGAAGTACCATCTGGGCCTTGCATGAGGCGAGGTTCTCTTCCCCCAAGGTCCATGTCACCTTGCACTTGAGTCCTTGAGATGTCCCTCTGATCAGGGGAGTACTCTCTCTACTTCGTTTTGAACAAAATAAGCTGCTTGAGGACAAGACCCGCGAGCCTGGAACAACCGCCGTTGCTGATCACACTGGATAAGTATAGGAGTCTCCGAATTGAATTGGTTCAGACAAGGATGCAAAAGACGTCCATTCAGTAATTTGTACTAGGAGTGTGGCCTCACAATTCCCAGTTTCAGATGCTTAGAAAACAAACCAGAGGCTTTTTTTAGGTCATTTGGAGAAGCACCACCTTAAGTGGCTCTGTGGTACAATTACAGGACAGATGGAATGAGACGAAAGGATCACCCGAAGGTCCTGTGAATTTGTTCAAATGGCTTGGCAGGAGACCTCTCAGGCGAGTTCCCTGCAGTGGTGGTCCCAGTGCTATCACACGAGCTCAGCTGCAGTTGTATGGATCCGTGTGGAAACTTCCCGTTCCCATGTGGGCAAAGACGGTGAGGTCCAAATACACGGGACGAGATAGAAACGGAGCGGGGGCCAAAAGGGAGTCTTTTCTCAATTAATATATTATTCTATATAATATGCGATTTACAATGTGCATGTGCGTAGAGCTAAATTAATAAATTAAGTATTAGAATACATTTGAGCATTGTTATTTACATCCCTACAAATTTAAAAATTCAAGTAGGCCCGAAACCTCGGCGGCATAGCTGGGTTTGTCCCCTATCTACAGCGTGCGTGTGCAGGTGTCTGCTCTCTCAAGTCTCGGTTTGCACACTTTGCTGGTGCTTGCTGTCAGCGAACCTCGCCACTGGAACTCACAATGGGAAAAGCTATTCTCGATGGGCACAATGGGCAACGTGTATACGTAGAAATTGCTGGTGGCAGTAATAGATTGGTTTCACCCTTTTAGACGCCAAAATACAGAAGCGCAATGAACCTTCATCTCCTTTGACCAGGCCCCGGCGCCCCGGGGGCCCCCTGGCTGCCTACTCACGGTGGCTCGGCTGGTGCTTCTGCAGCGCCGAGCGCCTCTTGAACACACGGCCGCACTCGCTGCACTCGCAGCGCCGCGCACCGCTGTGGATGCGCCGGTGGCGGCTGAGGCCGGAGCTCCTGCGGAAGGCCTTGCCGCACTTGTCGCACTCGTAGGGCTTCAGTCCGCTGTGGATGCGCCGGTGCTTGATGAGGTCGGAGGGCCCGCGGAAGGCCTTGCCGCACTCGCCGCATGCGTATGGCCGCTCGCCGCTGTGGATGCGCGCGTGCTCCAGCAGGCTGGAGCTCTGGCGAAAGGCCTTGCCGCACTGGCTGCACGCGTAGGGCTTCTCACCCGTGTGGATGCGCCGGTGCTTGGTGAGCTCGGAGCTGCGGCGGAAGAGCTTGCCGCAGTGCGGGCAGCCGTAGGGCTTGGCGCCGCTGTGGATGCGCTGGTGCTCGGCCAGGCCGCTGACGCCGCGGAAGGACTTGCCGCAGTCGTCGCAGTCGAAGGGCAGGTGGCCCGTGTGCGCCCGCTGGTGCTTGAGGAGCTCCTGGCGGTCCAGGAAATCGCGGCTGCACGCCCGGCAGGCAAACGGCTTGTCGGCGGTGTGGAGTTTCTGATGGCGGAAGAGGTGCGCATCGGCCTTGAAGGAGCGCCCGCACTCCTCGCAGTCGAGTGGCTTCTCGCGGCTGTGCACCCGCAGGTGCTGGCTCAGGCCCGCATTCTTCTTAAACCGTTTCCCGCACTCTTCGCACTCGAACGGCTTGGCCTCCCTCTCCAGCTGCTCCCTCTTGGCCACCGCATCCTCCAGGGCCCAGCTAGGGCCGGGCCGGGGCTCTGCGGCCACGTGGCTCTTCCTGTGCTCATTAAACTCGGACACCCCCCGGAAGACCTGCCCGCAATCGCCACACTCCCAGCCCTTCGCCTCGCTGTGAACTCGCTGATGCTGAACGAGCAGCACTTTGAGCCGAAACGTGTCTCCGCACTCCTTACAGGCAAAATGATGTTCTATGGGCACATCCTGAGGGCTCCCGCCCCTCCCCTCCGAGTCCCCGTTGGCTTTGACCTCAGCGCTGGGGTCACTGGCCCTTGGGGAGCTGGTGGACGCCGTTTCCTGGGGCTGGGGCTGGGCTTCCTCACCCATCGTGCAGTGCCAGGTCTCGAAGCTGCGGCCTGAAATGACGAGCACAAGTGGCTGCAGTGTTAGGGGAAGGCTCCTCCCCCTTTCCACAGGCCACCAGGAGAGCAAGGACCGCAGAGGGGGCTTGATGGCTGCACAAGCGGGAGCCATAGCATGCCCCAGGGGACCTCCCCTTCTGCTGTGGGCCAGTGCCCACGCCTCCACCTCAAAGGTCCAGGCAGGCTCCCAACCCTGACCCATCCCACCCAAGTGCTCACCTGATCCCCTCAACCCAACCCTTAACTCCCACAAGCTAGGCTGGGTGTTCCTGCAATGTCCTCACATGTCTTCAGCTTCCTTTTTCCTTAGTAAAGATTTATTTTTTGAAAAGGTAGATAGAGTGACAGAGAGGGAGGGAGAGACAGAGCAACAGAGATCCTCTGTCTGCCGGTTCATTCCCCAAATGGTCACGATGGCCAGGACTAAGACAGGTGGAAGCCAAGAGCTTGGATTCCCATCTGGGTCTCCCACGTGGGTGCAGGGGCCCAAGGACTTAGGTCATCTTCTACTGCTTTCCCAGGCCATAGCAGAGATCTGCATCAGAAGTGGAGCAGCCAGGAGCTGAATTGGCGCCCATATGGGATGCCAGCATTGCAGGCGGCAGCTTAACTACTCTGCCACAGTGCCAGCCCCTTTAGGTTTATTTTTCACTCACCAGAGTGCGTAGCACGATCTGTGTTGAGAGATGGGTCTGACGCCAACAGCACTTGCCCTTGCGCCAGCTGAGGAACCAAGGCAGGATTCAAAACAGGACCTCCTGTTGGTTGGAAATGGTAAGGGTTATGGGGGCAGCTGGAGATGCATCAGAATGGGGGAGGAACTGCACTGACCGGGACCTCTGAGCAATCATTCACACGCCTCAAATGCCTTTCCTAAGGACGGACTTCTTCTGGGAGCTGCAGGAAGGCAGGCTGTGGGTCCACCTGGGAAAGATCCCAGTGGCGTGCCAGGAGGTGACCCAAGGAAGGAGCCACACTGCCTGTTCCTTGCCAATACCCTCGGTGTCACAACTCCCAAATGTCTCCCCACCGTGATCTCCTCCAAAAATATCCCCGAGAGGTCACGTCCACAGTGAGCCCAAATCAAACAGCCATACAATTTGTGTAGCTCATGTTCTATATTATAGTGGCAGGTTTCCCTTCGTTTCTTTGCTACAAGACCGCAGGGCTCCTTTCCATGCTGTGAAGAGTCGGGGAGGTCCCTGCCATTTTGAGACGCTGGGTGTGGCATCTCTATTTCCCCAGAGCCCAGGGGTTAGGTGAGCTTGTATATGGGTGACCATGTGCCCCCACCCAACCCCTAATGGTTGGCCAGTCTGGGGAAGAGATCCTTACCCACGGAGGCCACGTTCCTGTAATATGCCAGTGTCCTCTGCTCAGGGTCAAGCCTCAACAACTCCCTTTTTGTGAGGTACCACGCCACTTCATCAACTGTCACCAAACCCTGAAAGAAGTCCCAGGGATAATCAGTCTTTGCATCAGGAGCAAAATGAGGCGGCGGTGGCGGGGGGGGGGGGGTTGCCAGGAAGGCCAAGGACAGAGGTGAGGGCCAGCAGTGAGAGTGTGTTGCTAAGGTGGAGGTCCAATCACAGCTCCAAGAAGTCCTGCAAAGAGAGCCTGACCAAGTGCTGGGAGCCCTGGGCCAGGGCCCTGGGTGCCCACATCGCCTCAAGGGGCCACAGTTCATTCACTTCCCTGGCCAGACACCTAGCTCCCCACTTGTAGGATGGGAGTCCCAAGGCCAGTGGGCACCTGTTCCCTGGCGGCCTCTGGGTGGGCAGGCAGGCTCAGCAGCTGGGGTTCATGGCCTGCTGAGTGTCATGTTGGGGCAGGAGGCACAGGCCGGGGCCAGACTCAGGGAGCAGTGACAGAATCCCAAGCAAGGCAAAGGGAAGCACAGCTCACCTGGGCCTCCGGCATCTCAAGAGGGACTGCCAGGACCTGGTTTCCTGGGGCTCCATCCTGGGGGAGGGCAAGACCTTGGGGAGCAGGTGGCGCTAAGGAAAGCGAAAAAAGCCGTGAGTGACAACAGCTCTGCGTCTGGGGCCCCTGGGATGTGACTGCTCATTTCCTTTTCCCTGATTTTCCTGAGCGAGTGGCAAGCCAGAGTGTGCAAAAGTGGGCTGGCAGGAACTTAATATAGGTGAGTGGCCTGAGGAGCCAAGACAAGGCAAATGGTTGGTAGCCCAGGCCCAACCCGGAGAAGACAGACACTGGCAGAGCCGATGGCCCAGAGAGCAGTACTCAGAGACAGGCTGAGCACAAGCCTTGAACAGCAAGCCTGCAGGGGCTTGGCGAGGCAGCATACCCCAGGTCAGGCCACTGGAAGGAAGAAGAGGCAGCGAAGAGCAAGAGCCAGGGTTTCCTCATCAGCAGTGAGGCCCTCAAATGCCATACCCACTGAAGAATTCAGCAGGCGAATGCCAGACACTTCTCTTACATATCCAACAAGATGAAAAGCTGAACAGAACAGCTGGAAAAACAAGCTCCAAAGAAAAGCTCTCCAATGCCCAGGTACTAAAGAAAAGGTATGAACGAAATGCACAAGTTACCTTTTCCTTCCAAATTGTAAAACGTGTGAAATAATTTCAGATCCTACCGCAGACATCTATGTCTCATGGGCCTCCCACTTCACACAGCTCCTGTTCTGATGGCAACTCAATTCAATTCAAGCCATAATTGAATGAAAAGAAAGCATTTTTGCACTAGCTCAAGGGCTACAAAAACCCAGACACTCCAGAATGCCTTTTATATAAAATTAAAGATGTTATGTTAAAAGGGATGGGCAGAAACAGACTTAATATCCTGTCATAAACAAGTGGAAAACTAGAGAAAATATAAGTGAGACAATAGTTCTCAGACACTGGACAGCAGAAAGCACAAGATAATGATCCTGGAGAGAATACGAATAAATGGGGTGAGCCTTATCATCACCCTGGAGGCAATTTCCAGATAGAGCCCATGGGGGGGGGGACCAAATGGAGCTCAGTGGCTTCATCAAGTTGAGGAGATGCAGACCAGCATTCAGGGTGGTGCTGGAAGTAGCCAAGCAATGTTCCAGGGACGAGTGAGCTAGGCAGCAAAAAGGAGCTTCAGAAAAATCTGCGTATGAGTCTGCTTGAGTGTTTCCCAAGTACTAAGCGCTGCATGTACCAGTGGAAACCCCAGAAGGCTGAGGAAGAATGACCAGGAGGGGTTGGCACTGGGACACACTGGGTTAAGCTGCCATCTGCAATGCTGGCATCTCATTTTGGAGCACCAGTTTTAGTCCCAGTTGTTCTGTTTTCAATTCAGCTCCCTGCTAATGCACCTGGAAAAGCAGTGGAAGATGGCCCAAGTGCTTGGGATCCTAATCCTGCACTCACGTGGAAGACCCAGATGGAGCTACAAGCTCATAGTTACAGCCTGGCACAGCTCCGGCCATTGTAGCCATTTGGAGGGTGACTCAGTGGAGAGAAAATCAACCTCTCTCTCTCTCATCACTTGCTTTTGTCCTCCACCTCTGTCTCTTGTCACTATACTTTTCAAGTACTTAAATAAAAAGATCTTTAGGGACTGGCACTGTGGCACAGCGGGTAAAGCTGCAGCCTACAGTGCTGGCATCCTATATAGGCACTGTTCCGGTTCTAGTCCTGCCTACTCCTCTTCTGATCCAGCTCTCTGCTATGGCCTGGGAAAGCAGTAGAAGATGGCCCAAGTGCTTGGGCCCCTGCACCTGCATGGGAGACCTGGAAGAAGCTCCTGGCTTTGGATCAGCACAGCTTTGGCTGTTGTGGCCATCTGGGGAATAGACCAGTGGATGGAAGACCTCTCTCTCTCTCTGCCTCTCCTCTCTCTGTGTAAACTCTGACTTTCAAGTAAATAAATACATCTTTTTAAAAAAAGATCTTTAAAAAAATAAAATGGGCAGATAGCTGCAAGGTAAACAACTTCCAGAATACACAAAAAGTAGACAGATGTTCAAGGTCCTCTGTGATAACCTGGGACACTCAGAGAGAACCCAGAGAGGCCACACCTTACTCCAGAGAGAAAAACAGCTTTACAAAGCAAACAGTACGTCAGTGACCTGTAGATAATAGGAAGTGGTCTGACATCCACGTAACTCAAACCTGAGAATGTGAGAAGGGGTAGAAGGATAAAAAATGTGGCTAAGAAATAATAGCTGGATAAATTTCCAAAATTGAGCAGAGCTATAAACTCACAGATCCAAGAAGCTAAACCACATCCTAGTAAAACTTAAAAAGATATGTCACAGTCTGGGTGCTGAAAACTAGTGACAAAGAAAAAAAGCCTCAAACTAGCCAAGAAAAAATGCTGCATAGAGAGGAACAAAAATCAGAGCAGCTACTGATTCATTATCAGAAAGCAATAAATGACTTTTACAATATTTATTTATTTGAAAGGAAGCAAGAGTGGGTTAAGTAGAGAGACTGAGAGAGAGAGAGAGAGAGACTGAGAGCACTTCCACCCACTGGTTCACTCCCTAGATGGCCACAGTGGAAGGAAGATGACACCATAGGGGAACCTGGATGTGCACAAAGGCATGGAGAATATATAAATATGCGGGAAAATAGAAAACTCTTGCCCTCCTCGTTTTTAATGTTGTGCTATGTATGAGAAACTTTAAATATAAAAATACAGGTTAAAAGTAAAGGTATGCAAAATAGACTATAACCCACAGGAGGAGTAGAAGTAATTCTAGTACAAGACAAAGGTGGTGATGGTGGGAGAGAATGATGAAGTTTGGCTCGGAGCTCAGAAGCCACTACTGCAGAGGGCCAGAACTCAGAGCGGGTAAAAAAGCCAGTCAGCATGCAGGCAATGCAGGATGCTGCACTGCAGATTACAAAAATGGGAATCCTTTATGCCCTTCATGGAAGATATAGGCAGCCCTAATGACTCTTGACTGAAAGCCCAAAGCGGGCAAGGGAAGGGGAGATGATGGCTAAGTACATATTTGCTTTTTAAGAGAAAAAAGGAGAAAATTGAGCATGCCTTGTGGCTAGAATAAGCACCCTGTGTACAACGTGGGACCACGCTGGGGGATGGTCAAGGTCTAGAAGGTCCTGCTTTCTGTTCCAGTAACACGCATTTTAGTAACCAAGCCGAATTCTGATGCTACCAGCGAAGAACAACAATTTAAACAGATTTTGGAAGACTGGTTAATAAAGATGGTCAGTGTGCAAGAGGACAGGCCGAGGCCAAGGAGATAACAGGGTGTGGCCCTTGAGGTTGGGTCAGAGCACCAGTACTTCCTAGGATGCCCACTCAGCCAGGGCAAGCGGGGGGCGGGGGGCAAGGGGGGAAGGGCTGGTGGGACTCTCTGGGCAGTCACCTAAGGCTGGTGGGCAGAAAGCACAGAGGCAGGACCAAGGTGTTGCCGCTTCCTGCGCTCCTCCCCCCAGAGTCTCTACACTGTAGACAGGTGTGGGCTGAGGGCATCATTTGGTCAAAAAGTCTACCCAAGCCCTTATCCCATCTTTAACAGGTTGTCTGCATGTGCGTCAATTCCACTGTTACTGCCCAAAGAATACATCTGGTGTCTACTTTGACTCTCACGTCCAATGCAAAGTGACCTGCTCATGAATCACTTACACAGTTCACTTCCGGTTGTCGTTGATGTCTGGCTGCCCAGGGGAACAGAGAGAGGCACATTGTGTATTCGCCCTCTGAGAAGGTCACCTGTGACAGGCCTCTTCTCAGCTGTCCTCTGGCCAGTGACCTAAGACCTTCACAACCCCCACCGGCAAGGCCTTGGCCCAATTGTACATTCTGTGCCTCACCTCTTTGTCCCTCCAGCCAGAAACAATGGCTTTCATTCAGTTCTAGACAGGCCAAGGCTGTGGCCCTTGCGACCTGTGTACCTGCCAAGAATACCGTACCTGTGGCTTATCACAGGCAACGCCTTCTAAGAATTTAGGCCTCAAGTCAAACGTCACCTCTTCAAAACATCCTCACTCCCCAAGCCCATCGCACTTTGTTCAACTAAAATCTGCTTTTCTTTTCCTGCTCATCCTAAAACCCCCACAGCTCTGGAGCCCACTGGGCCTGTGATAAATTATAGGGCTCCTGACTCAATGTGCATGGGGAGTACTGTGTTAAATGGAGCAAACTTCCACTTAGCAAGCACTGACTATGCATATTGGGCACTGTGTGTCTCCCTTCACATAATTTAATTATTGCAACCTACGGTTATTACCGCCTCAATTTCACAGAGAGAGAGAGAAAAAAAACCCTATGCATCCAAGAAGTTAAGGAACTTTTTTCAGGTCCAGCTCTCAAGATTTGAGACTTTTAAAACCACAGCAGGAAAGAGAGAACTAATACATTCCCCCATACAGCAGGCCCGAAGCAGGAGACGGGCTCGCAGGGAGCATTCGGGGATTGCCGTGAAGTCCTCCCGTAAGCATGCCACACAAATCCTCCTGTGGCAGCACACACACACGCCTGCTGTCATTCTCTCTCACACACATGAGCACGGTTCTTCCGAGCCACCCATGTTTCACCAAGCAGATCCTCCTGAAGTGTTCTGTTTAACTGAGTGAAGCCTGCAGAAGTGTTTTTGTTTAATTAGCATGATTAATTGTTCAAATCCAGGAGCCACAACCCTCAAATAAATTGTTATTATCCTTTGCCAGGTAGCAACAGGAGTGGTTCTTCCTGTACCAGCTGACCTGGGGCATTTAGCTTGAGAGCACCCACAATAACAGACACACAGAGATAATTTAGAAGGTGCTCATAAAAATGGGAGGAAGAAAGCAATTCCTGCTTTCACAAAGTGAAGCTCAACTGTGTACGACTAACCAAGTATATCAGGTAAAAAGCTTCAGGAGAAGCAAAGGGGTATCATCAAAATGTAATAGAAGTTAATGCCCACTGCAGTTCAAAATAAAATTATCATCAGTGCTGGAGACAACCAGAGCATTTAGAATTGATCACATTGCACAACTGTTCCACTTTAAAGTGGTGAAGCTACACCGGAAAAGAAGCTGGATGCTGGGACAAAATGGACAAATGCAGGTGTCCACTTGCCTTCCCAAAGTGGATGTTGGAGCATCAAGGTCAAAGCAATTCCAGACAGAACATGAGAACAATTGTAGTGCACCCGACGGACGCTGAGGGCAATGCTGCCCTTGAACCTGAGGCACTTTCACTCATGACAGAAAAGCACACTGTAAATCTTGGAAAACGGAAGCTGGGAGAAATACTATGGGACAACAAATCTCGGACCCTTAATGGTAAGCGTGTTACCCTGCTTCTTGCAATGAGACCTGGAGACAACTGTGAAAGACTATAAACTCCCAGAGAACAAAGGCCTTGTCAAAGTCAACTGTGCGTTCCGAACAGCAGGTGACCTAGCTAAGCACCATGTATGTTGCAGCTGTTTGACAAACATCTGCTGCTGGAATACATGGCAAACAGTAATGTCAACATTAACCTACTGCCTGACGATTTGGAAAAGTATGCTTTCTGAAACAGCACAGCTCATGTGAATGAATAAATCTTCCTGCTCCATGCTTTAGATTACAATGTAAGGTTTAGCCAGCTTATTTAAATCAGAAACACTAAGAGACCCAACCTAATCAATTCATTTTACCTGAACAAACAAAATCAAGAGTGGAATTCAACAGCAACAAAAACCAACATGCTGACTGATTAGGTGTTATGTGGTGGCCTTTGAGTGCAGGACCCCTGAGGATGTCTGGCTCTAGTAAAAATGGTTCTGAGTGTAATAGATCAGGCTTCACCTGACCCCACCAAACAAACAGCCAAGCAACTTCCCCTGGTAGGTGCCATTGTTTCCCGGGTGGTGGAGGAAGGGGAAAGGCAGCAAGGCCGCGCAAACACTCATCTAGCTTCCAGAAGCTTCCAAGGGGTGCCAGAAACATCTGGACTCCTACAAGCATCTCAATAAGGTCCTGTAGCAGAATACCCCAGCCTCGAAGCATGAGCTCATCCGGAAGACAACAGGTGGCTTGTGCGCCAGAGCAAATATGGCTATCTTGTCTCCCCTGCTCTGCGGGAGAGAAGTGCCTCTGGATACAGACAGCTCAGCAACACTTGTGTACATGGAATTGCTAAGTGCTTCTGCAACCACAGCAACAATGCCTCTCGCCCTCTTGTACCGCACCCGTGAGGCCTTCTAACAGCACGGCCAGCTTGAAGGCCAACAGACATGGTCTGTAAATACCCAGACTTACCCAAAAGAGACACAGAGGGATGACTCATTGTGCTTCAGAGCAAGTCTGGAGCAATCTGTCCGTCAGGGAAGGTCCCACCTGTTGGATTGAAATAATTCGGGTGAACAGAAGCAAACTCATGCACACCTTCCTGGAGCCCGCGCTCAACTGCAGAAGACTGAAGACACTCCGCTGACATCCCCGACTCCACAGCCAGGCCAGAGCCCACCCACAACTGCGGAGCTGAGCCCCTGGGCCACAGTAGAAACTGGCCTCTACGTCCCCTCACCCTGTCAGGCCCTGGGCAGCAGTGCAGGCCCCCCTCGGGCCAACCCTGTATGGTGCAAGCAGGCTGACACGCGAAGTAACAGAATCCTAAAGGGCCAAAAGACAGGGTGTCTCACCAGGAAAGTCTGTTTCTCTGGGGATATTTGTGTCTGTGTGTGTCTTTTTCTGCGTGCGTGGGTGGGAAGGCATCTGTTTCCTCTCTCACTCTGCCTGGGCACCTGTCTCTCTCTGTTTAGGTTTCCATCTTCTTTCCCTTCTATAAAAAGCCAGAAGGTAGACCAGAAGGGGATTCTGTAGTGTTTGTTGTACTTCACTGAAGAAAGGTTTATGTTCCCATTTCCCCAAGAAGACGCACAGCATCTTACTAAAAATCAAAATAAATTGTTAAGTATAGCTTTGTTTAGGTTACTCTGCCTAGATAGAAACAGCACATAATCGAGATGTGGGGTGAGGATGCTACACACACCCCAAGGAGCCCAGGCAGGTTACAGAAAGGGCTGGACCACTGGCATAGAAATCTCATTTGGAGTTCACTAGCAACTCAAGTGGCAGAGTAACAGGTCTGACTGGGCCAGGGAATCTGCATTCATCAGCTAGCACTCTAGCAGATTCCGATGCAGAGCTACACTTCCTTAACACCAGGCCCGGAGGCTCGCTCATCTCGAGCCCTCCTCAGACACGATTCTTGCTCGCCTGCCCTGAGCCTCCCACAGTGGGAACCCACTCTTCTCTGGTCTGTGCTGATGCTCAGACTTCTGGGAAGAGAACTCGGGGTCCCTCACAGACCCAAGCCTGGAGATCAGGGATCAACAGGGTTCTAATATACACGCACTCACGGTTTTGCAGAAGGCACTGAACTGTGCCAGACAGCGGGCAAGTTGTTTCTAAGTAGAGGCCCAGAGTGGGGCTGGGGGAGGGTTGAGACAGCAATCCCATCTGAAATGCCGGGGCAAAATGCCGGGGCTGAGCTTGGAAAGAAAAGGTTTCACTGACCAAGGAGACAGAGGGGCTGCTGGCCTGGCCCGGCCAAGGCTGGCTGGAGGGTGTCAGTTGGAACAGGGTGGGACCTCCAGGAAGAGAGCCAGCAATTGGAGGGGGGTGTGTGTGTGTTTGAAAGGGACCATGGGCTTTGGGCAGCAGGCGACTGGTGGGTGTGTGTGTGAGTGTGTGTGTGGAAAAAGACATGCAATTAATCACCCAAATATAGACTGGAGAAGCCAGCAAAGAAGTTGGGGGGTATACTCTAACGGGAGAGGTGGCCCCCAGGAGGGTGAGAGCAAAAGCACTGTTCAGAGGGCCTTCAGCTCTTTCCTCCCAGCAAGCATTGCCCCTTCCCTCTACCCCATCCCCCCTGCTCTTGCGCTCTAGGTTCCCATACCCCCTGCCAAGATGAGGCTGGACCCCCATCCAAATGGAAAGGAGGGGCTTCCTCAGCAGGAACCATCCCCAGCCCATCCACCCAGCTCCTTGGACTGCGGAAAAGTCTTAACCACCGCCCCCTCCCCCAGAGCTCCCTTTCCCCGTTGGCCTCCGTGGCTCTTGGGCCGTGCAGGAGGAGGGTGGTTCTCTCTCTGATCGTGACCGGTTCCCATCCCCTAGCATCCCCGAAAGAAAAGCTTAGGCCTCGGAACATCCGCGATTCCCGCCCTTGACCGCCGACCCCCACCCGCGGCAGGAAGGCCTTCTGGGCCTTGGCGTACCCGCCATCCGAACCCGTCCCCTTCTCTGGCCAGCCTCAAGGCCAAGCAGCTCCCTACCGGCCGAGACGCCCCGCACCACCGCACATTCTCGCGCGTCCCCCTGCACATCCTTCCTGCAGCCCCGCACACTCAGGCCCGCACATCCTTCCGCTGGCTGCACGATCACCTCCGCCCAGCACACTCTCGCGTCCCTGGCACATCCTCCCGCAGCCCGCTAGCTCACCCAGGCCTGCGGGCGGCCCACGCGCGATGCTCGGCGGAGCTGCGCTAACGCGGCCCAGCCAGGCCCGGCGTGGCAGGAAGCGCCACGGAGCAGACCGCGCGGGGCCGAACCCAGGAGCCCGGCAGCGCACGTTTCCGGAGCCGCGGGCGCCGCCTGGGGTACAGAAGGAGCGAGGCCCCGCCCCGCCCTCGGCCCCGCCCTGTCCGTCGACCTCGATTGGCCCGGAGAGGGGGCGGGGCGGAGAAGGGGCGGAGTTGGGGGTGTGGTTGGGTGGAGGGGGCCGGAGAGGCGGGTCTGGCGAGACCGTGGAGGGAGCGGCCTTTCCTGGATGGAGGGCTAAAGAGTGGGATGAATGCAGGAAGGAATGAAAGAGGGAATGAGCGAACAAACTGAGCAGCAGACGAAGAAGGAAACGGAACGAAGAAATGGAAAGGCCCCTTCTCCTTGGGTACTTTTAGGGTGGGGTGGGTGCAGGGATCAAGAATGCAGCCCTGGGCAAAAACAGATCTCATCCCTGACCTAAGAGGCCACACGTTTGATGCCTTAGAGCTCTCGTCAGTGTCTGTTATGTGTGGGTTTGTGGTGGAGTGAGCACACAATCAACCACATATCAGCAACAACGATTAAAACTAACTTCTTTTTCCATATTCTTGTAACAGTTTTGTCCATTGCATGACATTTTTCTTATTTTTGTCAAGATTTTACCAAGGAAGGTTAGCGACATTGAAAAATACAAACAACTGTGCTCATGTACCAATGACTAATATTCTACAATTAGCATTATACTCTATGTGCTTGGTTGTCCTTATTTTAGTGATGCATTTCAAAGTGAGTTGCAGATGTCAGTACGCCTCACCCCTTTCAGCATGCATAGCAGTATCTAGAGATCCATACTTGTTCACTGTTTTCAAAAGTACATTTTACAGGGAGTGAAACGCACAAATCTTAAGTTGGTTTATTAATTCGTCAGTTTATCATTTGGGCAGTTTCCAACTTGGATTATTATAAATAAGCTACATGAATACTCTGTACATGCCTTTGTGTGAACATATGCTGTCATTTTTCTTGGGCAAATACCTAAGAGGGATATTGCCACGTCACAGCATAGTTTTATGTGTTATAAGAAACTGCCGGAATGCTTTTCAAGTGGTCATGCGATTTGCATTCCCACCAGAAATATATGTGAGTTTCTTTTCTTTCCCATCCTCATCAATGTTTGGGGTTGTCATACTTTATTTTTAGCCATTCAAGTGGGTGTGAAGTGATATCTCATGTGATGTCAGTTATCATGTCCCTGATGACTAATTGCATTCAGTGTTTTTATGTGAGGAATTGGTCATTTCTGCTTCTGCATTTGTTCAAATAGATTAGCCAATTTTACGCACTTGTTTACCTTTTTATTATTTGCCTGTGGGTGTACTTTATGTTACATAAAAACACCCCTGATCTATTGCGATATCTTTGACATAAACTGCACATATTTAAACTGTATAATTTCATAAGACTTGACATAAATGTACACAACTCTGAAACCATCACCACAATCAAGGCAATAAACATATCCACTAGGCTCAAAGTTTCCTCATGCAATTTCTCTTCTCCTCCAATCTCAGGCACTCACTGATCCGCTTTCTGTCACTATACCTTAGTTTGAATGTTTCAGATTTTAATATACGTACTACTAATATTAGTTTTGCTTTGAGTTTGGTTTCTTTCACTCAAGAAACTTACTTAGAGATATCTTATTCTCTTGGTGCTGCTGTAACAAACTACCAGATTAGAGTGCAATGATTTGGATGCGCGCCCTCCAAAATTCCAATGCTGCCAAATGGGACCAGGTTAAGAGGTAGAGCTTTGAAGAGACGATGAAGCGATGAAAGCTCCTGCCTGGTAAAAGCGTTTAAGGACGTTATAAAAGAGCCTTCCCAAAGCATTTGACCAGCTTGCCCCGGCACCTCCCTCATTGTGAGGACACATGCTCCCCCTCTGTAGAGGACACAGGAAGAAGGCTCTTATCAGACACCAAATGCCAGCCCCTTGATCTTGGACTTCCCAACCTTTAGAAGTCAGAGGAAGTTAATTTTCCAATCTTGGGTTGTTGCAACAGCACACGCTAAAGCACTGGGTGATTTACAAAGTACAGAACAGAAATTTATTGCTCACATAACCAGGACACCAGGAAGTCCAATTTCAAGGTGCCAGCAGATGCCGGGTGTGGTGAGGGTGGCTCTCCACTTCCAAAACGGTGCCTCCTTCCTTGTGCTCAAGCGGCAGAAGAGACAAAGGGCAAAAAAGGGCCAGGAAGCCCTCCGAGGCTTCTTTTACTAGGTCGTTAATCTCTTATGAATCGATCACTTCCCAAAGCCCTGCCTCTTCATATTGTCACCTTCAGGTTTAAGTTCCCACATAGGAGTTCTGGCGAGGTGCACACATGGAAACCGCGGCAGAGATCCATCCACAGTGATGTGCCTATCAAGTTCATTCCTTTTTACCACTGGATAACACCCCACTGATGCATGTGCTAAAATGCATTTCTCCACTCGTCCACTGAT